AAAAAAAAAAAAAAAAAAAAAAAAAAAAAAAAAAAAAAAAAACTAAAAGAACAACGGTGCTTAAAACTACCAGACGACGTCTTAGTGTCAATAAACGCATGGAATTTGTCAGTCCTTTCCTGCTTACTTTAAAAAGTGTTCATGTCATAATTATAAGTTAAATGATTCGAAATTAAAGTATAATTAATATCAGGCGTAAATCATTTTCTCATTAACGAACCGCATTATATTTTAATGTTTTTTATAATTTCCTTCCTGCTGGCCTGAAAAAAACTAGTATAAGATTGTTATCTACGCCCTCCAAGTTTGCTTTCATAGTGAATACCGGCTTCAAGAATCGACTTCAATGTTGTTTTTTTACTCTAGGTATCCACTACCAGGCAACGAATGACACATAGGACTGCTATTTTCAATTCGAATGATTTTTTTTGAGTACTTCAAGTGGTGTTATTTCTATAGAACGCGGCCTAAAGGCTATCGCAAACTGAGCGTGGATACTAGGATAACCATCGCTAGGACCATTCACTCCTGCGTTTGATTTTCTAACTATTCTTCAAACTTAGGCCCCGTCCACAGTATGCCGGATAAATTTGAATTCGAATTTTTATTTATTCGGTTCCATTTCTAAAATTCGTTTTCGGTGAAGAATTGTTCCGGATTCGCCCGGACTAGTGTGGACGGTAGGCCTAACCGAATTAATGAAAATTCGGATTCAAATTTATCCGGCATAGTGTGGACAGGGCCTTATACTGGAATATTGATCTGCCATTCAGAAGGCCTCATTCATGATACGTCGCGACACGGTTACTTCACATTTGATATGTTGTTAGTTATAACGCTTTTCATTAAGGCCTATATTATTTCCCCTTGTTACATGCACTTGTCATGCAGGTGCGCTTTGCATTGAGTAATAGGCAAAAAACTATTGTATTGGGCTGCAATAACTCAGCATTCCCAAGAGTGCAAAAGATAAGAACATGGCGGCCGGCGCTATCTTGCAATTGGTGAGATTAGTACTAATAGATTCCAATGAGAAATCTTTAATTAAATAGCTAGCACCAAATATTAGGTGGAAACATTTTGAGGCTGTATGTTAAAGGTAGAATGTCTCTCTCTGGGGGAATGAAAATTAGAAGCGAATGTGGCGGTAATACAGACAACAAGTTGCAAGTCCTTGTTACTTGGTTACCACAACTTACTGTTTTAGATAAGTTTATTTATTATTTATTTAGTTTAAAAAAGATGATAGGAAACAAGTACAACAGAGAAACTAGCCTGAATCCCCACTCCTCGCAAAACCTCTCCTCACAAAAAAACATAGGGCCGCTACACAGGCTACAGAGAGGCTATATGGAATCGTTCACACTTCCACAACCATACATATCTAATTTTTTCTCTGTTCTTTTAGTTCCACATATCTAACCTCTTATCCGTTTTTCCCCCAGTATTTTTTAACTTAACTTAGAGATATATATAAATATTATTTATGAGTTTTTTTTAATTACATAGACAAAAATACCATCCACTTCTTAATCAGCTGTTTATATTAATACTGTAATTACAATTGAAATAATCTGTATACCCTATACATGACATGACGTGACTAATACTAATGATCAGCTGAAAGGTCGAGGAGGGATAATGGGTGGTGGTCGTTCTGTTGTTGGTGGGACTGTTTCTGGTCTTGGAGAAGCTGTAGTTGGAGCAACTGCATGAAAAATAACGAAATCAAGTCAGAAAACATGTTGAAATATAAATTGCAGTCGATGTATGTACGTTGTGGGACCATCACAACTGAGGTAGGCCAAGATATGGGTCAAAGCCACGACATCAAACTTTTAGCTTGTTTTTAGTTAGGTAGTAATGTTTTTCTATTTTAGACCACGTGTCATTCTTTAGAGTGCAGGCTATAAATCCGTTAGAAATAGTACTAACTTATTAGAGTACAAAATAGCACCAATGAAACAATTGAAGAAAATAATTGAATAAGTAAAATAGATAAATGTTTATTGCTGTTTAGTTTTTGTGCTATTTCACGGATATATGATTTGCACCGTAGTATCATTTATTTGTATAACGCTTTTCAATGCATGAATATATATATAGATACATCTCAAACAAAGATTTGTATTATCAGAATAACATGTGGTCTGAAATGAGAAAGCATGCCCTAGGTAAAGATATCTATTGGAATTTTGAATTTTGAATTTATAGTATATCTGGTTCTTTAGGAATTCGACATGCGCGCCGCGATAGAAGATTTTGGCTGTGTCTCAAATTTCTTTATAGTGTGGACTAATGAAAACCACGGTCCACTCACCACATTTAGGGCAGCATTTTCCAGGAATTTCAATGGGTATTAAATCTCCATTACACTTGCATGATTTAATGAAGCATTTAGCGACGTTATTGGCTTGACATGTACATTCAGCACAAGTGGAATCTTTACGGGCCAACCATGTGCTTCCAACGGGCATTATTTGGCCGTTGTTGGAGCATTCTGAAAGAGATCAATCTGTATTTACAAATTTTTGCATTCATCGCAGGATATTTTTCAGCTTTTCAACCATGCGCAATTAAAATTGAGGTGTTTAGTGGAATATCGTGAACAAGTGAAAATAGAGGAAACAATAAGTGGAAGCAGACGTACCCACCACAGAAATGTCGTAGTATATATTTATACAGATACCTTATGAGATACAAGATATCAAATGAGATGCAGAACGTAAAACATGCTTAAATACGATTGCTTAACCACGGCATTTTGTGGAAAATATACTCTTTTAACTTGACTTAGTGCAATACTTATGTCTCTGATACAATAGAAGATAAATGAGACCAAATAAGTTACTTTTTAAGTTTTGCATCTCATTTGGTATCTTGCATCTTATTAGGTATATGTATAAATGTATACTACAAACTTTCTGCAATCAAGTATATATATATATATATATATATATATATATATATATATATATAAAACAACAATTCAAAACAGAACAGAGAAACAAGAACAGATAAATTCGAAACAACAACAACAACAACATCTCGAGTAGAATTCGGAATTTACAGGTACAAGTGATGTTCCGAAAGTTTTCAAAATTGTACGAGCCTTTAGGCGAGAGATTCTGGACAGATTCAAGGAGTAGTTTGTATTGTTGGCGGTCTGCGGTTGCTACAAGGAAAAGACGCGTAAACCTTGCGAACACCCGCAAACCTCCAAGCAATGCAGTACTAGTATATTTACCGCATACAGGGCAACATTGACCCGGCAAATACTTCAACTTGAGGCATAAAGTTCGATAATCTGTCTCACAGTGAAGTCCTTTACAGTTCTTTGCTTCTCCATTGCTACACGTGCACAGCTTACACGACGTCGAGTTGCTATTGAGAAACATTTGGTCACCTTCATTGTACACTTTACCATTAATATGACAGGATGTTGGTTTGGGAACGACTAAAAAGGAAAAAAATCATTTAAAAATGGGCCTTATTCGTTGTTCGCGCAATGTTTTCCCATATATTTCTTCGCGCCATTTTCCAATCTTCGCGATCCGTATCCGTAATCCGTATTTAGACAAYGACAATGATCACTGAGGCCTATGGTTGTTTTAGCTCAGCCAAAATCATAATTAATTCTGTGCAACAAAATTATGCAGGTTTTTTGTGACAGAAACACATCTAAATCTGATCTATGCGGTTATGCATACCTTTATAACGATAKACCATATTCGCCCAGTCTTTTCCTACTCCGTGCTCGCAGTTCGTTGACACACCGTACATGTTGTAGCGCTCCTCTGCTGACCCATCGCTCCAGCACTCACCATAATACTGAACAGCGAACATACCAGGGTAGGCGTGTTGGTAGGCGCTCTCTGCGCATGCTTTGACCATATAACTGGTGTCAGGATAGGAACGCCATCTAATACTGCTGCGGAAGTTTGCGTACATGTTGCGTAAAGCGCGAGAAGGTCGATCACGAAAGCATCCAATAGATTCCAGTTCGATGTAAACTGAAAGAAGAAAAGCAGGATTATTCTATGAATATTACTTATTTGTATCATTAATGACGGTCATTTGTAGAAGGACCGCGATGTTTCGACTACAGACTGCTCTTTAGGCGATAGTGTAGAGTGGATGGTCTCATCAGTATCACTGATTTATTCAAATTCCACTATCAAATAGTATTTTTCATTCTACAATCATTTTAGTCAGTTTATCGTATAGAGTGCATAACATATATCCGTGAAAAAGTTAACTAACAAAATTGTACAAACTAGTGTAAAGTTTTGTTTTGTGTTTTTTTTTTTGGTCTATTAAGGTCTAATGAACTTACTAATTTGTGCAATTCCTTACAACGTTTTCACGGATGCACTCTATAGTCTTTAAGGATATTTTACTACTTACCAGGGCTACCAAAGTCCCCTTTGATCCGGTAAATAGTCTGTAAATATATATATATAAACCTTGTGAGATTGTAATTATTACTGAGGGCACACTTACCTCTAGCTGTTTGACTAGCATGGTCTACTGCTCAAGGTGCAAGGGTGAAAAAAAATATAATGAAGAGGGGTAAAAATACGATGCACGAAATGATAGTAAAATAAAGAAAAACAGTTAAGTTAAGTCAATAAGCTGCAAAATTAATTAAATGAAGTTGAAAATATACGTGAAACGTATTTTTTCAGTTTTCTTTTCTTGCGATTTGTTCGCGCGCATCAAGATTAATTTTACGGTGCAGAAATTTTGTTCTTAGCCGCGGGTTCTATCTTTAAATCAGCGATTATGATTAAGTCCGTCTTGTCATTTGTTATTTCGCTCTCACCTGTTGATTTGCGCTCACATCCAGTGAGATGAAATACAATATAACTAGCAGTGGCAGGATCATCCGTATACAGGACACCATGGTCACTATGTTACGAGCATTAAGGTAATACAAGTATTAAACACATGAACATGATTGAACATCAGTTAACCATTGCAGCAATTAATTATTTTCCTTTCGTTTTTGTTTTTGTTTCTTTCTTTCCCTCTTTCTTCCTTTCTTCCTTTCTTCCTTTCTT